CCTTGAGATGACGTGTTGTGAATTGGCGCTATATAAATAAACTGAATTAAACGAATAATAAAGCAAATTAATTCTTCATACACCTTGTCTGTATGCAATGTGCTAATAATAGAAATAAGCAAATTCAATTAATTCAATTGAATTAATTGAATGCAGACGGTTTGCGGGTGATTGACAGGTAGAGCTGGAGATGCATTGGAGAAAGAAAGAGAATTGGTGCAAGAAACATCCTTTTCCAGGATCTTGTTTAGCTACAAAGCTTAGCTACCTGCATGCAGCGAGGCTAACTCTTTATTCTTTTTTCCTTGCCTCCTTTTTCAAATATCAGGATCTGACCCAGCATGGATAAAGATATCTAGGACTGATTTAAAGCACTTTTTAGAAAAGGCAAGGAAGGATGAACAATCTGTGATTAACATGGAAAATATTATAATATAGTGTCCTTTTTCTTGATTTTTCTTAATTTGAAACCCAAAATAAACTCTTAAATAAACACATTCTCAGAAAATACATAGTTTTTATATATTAAAAAGTTTTACGCTGACTAATAGCCTTTCCATTATTAAACTGGTACATTTTATTTTTAGATCTGTGACACCATTTCCATCTGTGCAAAACACAGATTTGCCTTCACAAGGCATCAGAAGGGCAACATTTATGCACAAAAAGTGAACCTGTACATTAAATTATGTTTAGTTTTTATAATATTTTTTTGTTGTTGGTATTCATACTTGTGTGATAACTTAGTAGACGTTCGATTGGTTTTTGTTATACGTCTATTTTGAATTTATAGCCCCCCCCTTGAGAAAACTCCGGCAGTCGCCACTGTTATCTGAAACCATAAACACAGATGAATGTTTTTTGTTGTTTTCTGTGGCTCCTCTGTGTCAGGATTTGGTTATGGAGTGTTGACCCAAAAGGAGAGGCAGGAAAGCAGAGGTGAATTTCTTTAGATTTAATTAAAAAGGGAAACTGAAAATTATCCAAAAATCCAATAATGGAAAAAAAAGTTCAAACAAGCATGAAATCAGGAGTCCAAAAATCCAAAAGAATCAAAAATAAAAAATAGTCAAAACGAACCAGAAACCGTGGAGACATCAGGGGAATCACTGTCACAACGAGGAAGACTCAGGGAGACAGAGTTGGAGGAAGTTTGACAAAGTTAGACAGTGTTTGACGAGGACCCAGCAAAGGGGAACTGAAGAGAGAGGGCTTTTAAAGGAGACTGAGACAAAGAGGGGGCTAATGAGGAAACTGGGAGCAGGTGTACACAGAACAAGAGGGAAAGAGCTAGGGAAGAAGGAGAACACAAGAGGGCAGCAGAGAGCAACAAATAGAAACCTGGAAGACTGGAAATAACAACACAATGTTAAATTTCTAGGACTATAAAACATGGAGAAAAGAAAACTAAACACTCAAAAGAAAACATAACAGAACCCAGACTAGGACAGTAACTGGAAAAAACCAAAGAACACAGCAAAATAAAAATAAAACCTCTAACACTAGAAAACAAGGAGTAAAGCAAGACTGAATACTACAACAGAAACAGAAACCTGACACTCTGCACATTTAGAGTAAAGCTTTGCAATTAAAACAAACATATTAAATCATCTTGTATGCTCCTGTCTGAGTCTGTTCCAGAAGAAAGTGGAGGCATTCAGAGTGACATCTTTAATTTCACCTGCTTAACTCTGTCCAGCTGCTAATTATCATTCATCTCATCCACCTGCCGTTTTCCCTTATATTGAGCTAATTTCCAGCTATCATGGCCAGATCATTCTATCATTAAACCGGACAATTCAAGGTGAGACAGCCAGTAGGAACGTTTCAAAAGTTTATTAAAATAAAAACAGACAGAACAGAAGTGAAGCGGGCAGCTGAGAATCTGCAGATGAGACTGCAGGAGGGAGGCGGGGCACTGCCCAATCACTGACACTCAGAATCACAGGTAAGTGACTATCTGAACAGAAGATCATCTGAACAAAAGATGATTATTAGTGAATCGCTTACCTGGTTAAACGGCTCAGTCCATTTTCTCAATCTTAGGCAGGATAAGCCGATGTACTTCCAAAGAGATGCAGCAACCCCAGTGAGCAAGCAGACTCAGATCCAGGAGCTAGGAGTCAGCAGTCCGGTCAGGAATTCCGACCCACTCGGGAACGGACAGAACCTGGTTCAATGAATTCATCAGAGCGTGAAGGCAGGTTCAGAGTTCTGTGCGTCGAGCATCCAGCTCAGACAGAAACGCACCTGGGAGG